TTTTACCTGCCATCAACATGGCTGATTCTAACCACCAAGATAACGACGCTTTGCGCCTTATTGGGCTCATATTTTTCCACTGACATGACGTTGAGTGCTTATATTTAATTAGTTGCTCGGTCTGCTGTTTGTAATGTTGATCCACTGTGTTTTGCCAGACAATTTTTCTCGTCAGAATCCATCTTGCATATTTATATATCTAACATTCGCCCGTTCAGTGAATATTGCTGCTACGGGGATCCTAGTATATATCTAAATATTCGTAACGAAATCCACTGAAGAGTCTGTAATGTTACTGGCTCTGACCTGGCATCTCGACGTCAGTTACTTTAACACAGCCGTGGCTTGATTTCCATCTGTATTTTGTATAAGTATTTTCATGACACTTGTATTAATGAACTCTCCTCCTGGGCACCTCGAATGTAGGTGTACTATTAAATTGGCACAAAAGGCCGAATCGTTTTACTGTTTAAATAAGTAGATGTAAGTGTAAGTTCTATTCTAACTGGTTTTCTTTTTTGCCTCACACTTCTCGTCCGTGGGACTTTCTTCCGGTCTCACGCTTCCCTGGCACCTACAATGCAAATGCAACATCAATCGTCGTCATCTATCTTCCTGAAACCTGTTTATTTAGTGTTATTTCCTCCTCACTAAAGTTTTCTCATTCTTTTTCACTCTTAATAACCCCTTGCATTTTAATGGCATTATCAGCTTAGTTGGAGTGAAATTATTAAAATAAAAATAAAAAAAACTACAAGAAAACATACGCAACACTTTAAGATTTCCGCTATTATTTTAACTATCTTCACTCCTAAGTAATGTTTATTCTTTTAGAATTGTTTTTAATATCTCTTAAAAAGATTAACATGAATTTATACATTGTATTTATACTTGAGAATTGACAACAAAAATAATAAACACTATTTATTTATTAGATTGTTTATATAGTGTTTAATATTTTTGTTGTAATTTCTCAAAAACAAACAAACGAAAAAAAAATGTATAAATTCACTTTTATCATATGGTTAGGTTTTATTACAATTTTAATCATCACCAAGGAGTGAAGGTAGTTAAAATAATAGCGGTGTCAATGGAAAAACCGTCATTTTGACACTCCATTTTTGTAGACACGAAGGTCCAAGATTTTCCAGATGTCCATATAAATAAATCAATAGTAGCATCAGTAGTAAAGTGGATTTGGATTCTACGTCCATGTCCCTTCAGGACGCGGCACTTTATGTCTCTCCACCATTTACTCCCGATTTGTAACTCTTAGTATTGTTTGTCCCCTTTCTATCCCTCTCCCATCTTATTCTGCCAACCATTTACACAATTCTGCTTAGGTAATTTAATCGCTTCTTACCCCTGTCCCTCTTGCATTCACTATCTCCTATGAGTGTTGAATTTTCCATGCCTTCTTTCCTCATTATGTGTCCCAGAAATGTTAACTAATTCGTTCCGGTTTTATACATGATTGTTCCTTAAAATTTCTTCGTTGCTTATATTTCAATGTATTCTCAGTATCCTTCCGTAGAACCACATCTATGTTCCCTAAGTCCACTCTTTATCTGTGAGGAAATTGTCTAGCATTCACTGCCATCTAGAAGGTTATGATATATAAATTCCGAAAAAAAAAACTTTTTTATTTGATGTAGTATTTTATTTAATTTTCAACTTAATTCAATTAAGACGAGGTTTTTCTATAGTGAGCCACGATCGAATATTGTATTACAAAAATAATAAAACCAATTCTGATTGGCTATTAGTGTGAGGACAACACGGATTGGCCGGAGACAAAGAATAGGTATAGAGACTTAGGTCTCACGAAACAAAGCACAAAAATAAAGAAAAGAAAAGAAAAAAATTGTGGCGAACACCAATCAAAAGAGGCAGTAAGTCGGCAACGGTCGACTAGCAACTGACTACCTGCTGTCACGTGACCAATCATATGGAACAAAGAAAATCATCTTCATCATCATCATCTGCAGCAACTTCTGACCGAGTGATAAGTTTTCATTTATTTATTATTTTTTTTAAGTATTTCACCCCAAGCAAGGGGGGAGCGCCACTAGCACGCATGGGGTTACAGAGTGTTGAGAACCAGGGTGAAGAACCATGTTTGAGGAAAGCATATAGAGAAGGACGGGGAACAAGACCACGCCATCAGAAGATGTCGATTGACATTACACTTGAATATTTGAAGATTATAGTTATCAGAGAAGCAAACAAGATGAAGGGAGTTCCACTGTCGGGAAGTGCAAGACATGAAGTGGAGTAGAAGAGACAGTTACATTTAACTGTTTCGACAGTAAAAGGCTGGGATCGAGTAAGTTGTTTAAATTCATGCAGTCTGGGAACCAGTGAAAATATCTCGTCGGAACAGTTGCCGTGAAAATACTCGTCAAAGAGACAGTGGGGAGCCACGACACGTCTGTGAGAAAGTGACTGTAGACGAGATGCCAGATCAGGACCTATCACATTGCATACCCTCCTATGGATTTTGTCGAAGACCTCGAGACGTACAGCGGGGGCACCAGACCATATATGGCAGCAATATTCCATGCAAGGACGAATGGTTGATTTATAGATTTGAAGGATAGACTCAGATGAGAAAAACATTCTGGCACGACACAGAGAACCAAATTTCCTTGCGGTAGATTTATATATTTACTCTTATAATTAATTTCCTTTTCTCTACTTCTGGACAGCAGGTAGTTACTTTGAAACTCTCACATCTTGATTTTACTGGTGAGTCTCGGCTTGAGTTTGGGAAAATATAGCAAGCTTATATATATATATGTGTGACTGTGGATGCGCGGTGGTGTAATGGATATTTTGAGAAGTCGCATAGTCAAGTTCCAATTCCAGTGGAATCCGTGACATTCATTTACGGACAAATACCCTAGGGAAAGATATTAAACCATTCCCAGCGTCGGCTAGAGACATAATGGACATTATAGCCTTGTTTGGCAATCAGTCTTCTGAAAAAGTCTTGTTAGTTCTGCTCAAGCTTTCACCACTATAATCAAATGATATTTAATCACCATAGAGACTCTTTTCTGCCTGCTTTCAGCTTAAGCATCTTGGTTGCAATACTCATATTTCTTTCACTGTTGTACTCTCTGGGACCTATAGCCTAATGGATGAAAGCGTTGGTAATTTTATGTTCCCTCTCGGAGTCTGGTTGTGCTGATAAGTCCCATACTCTGGGTCAGTGGAAGAAAAGTACAATTATATTCCCCTTTGTTTTTATAGCGGAAGAGAATTTACCGATATAGAAAAATCCCCTAAGCATTGAAAAAGGAATGAAAAGAAATTGTAACCGTGGATGGAACAATGAATCAGGTCCAATATTCCGGAAAAGGTTACCGACTACGATAAGATATTTGACGAATGTCGGAATGTACAATAACCAAAGAGATATTATAATATAATTTACTGTTATAGAAAATCCCCTAAGCATTGTAAGAGGAATGAAAAGAAATTGTAACCGTGGATGGAACAATGAATCAGGTCCAATATTCCGGAAAAGGTTACCGACTACGATAAGATATTTGACGAATGTCGCAGTGTACAATAACCAAAGAGATATTATAATAAAGAAGATTAACATTCTTATCCAAACAGAAAGGCACATATTGTACATGCGTTGTTAGACGTCTTAGAACCTTTGTATACGTGAATGTATAATACGTTTGTGGGTATCGTGATTCGACCGGGAATAAACATTAAAGGACCACATTTCTATCAGAGATTGTCTGCTTAAATGCATAAAAAAGACCGATTTTTAAAAGAACTATCACAAGCGGTGAAAAATGGATTGTTTACAGCAAAGTTAAACGGAAATGAGTCGCCGTCAAGTTTTCTAAAAGCCGGTCTACATCCGAAGAAGGTGATGTCTTGTATCTGGCTGGATTAGAAAGGCGTTCTGCATTATGAGTTACTACCGCAAAAATCAAATTTGAATTAAGGCAAGTAGTGCTCTCCGTTTGATCGATTAAAAGAACGAAAATTGGATATAATATCTTTCTACACTCGCTATATTCAACTGACCTAGTACCTTTGGGTTACCATTTATTTCAATCATACAAGATTCTTTTAAGAGTTTAAATTCTCTGAAATCATGTAAAATCATTTTGACCAGTTTATCACCCAGAAATGTGACAAGTTTTGGAAGGATCGAATCCTGAAGTTACCTAAAAATGGCGAATGTGCTTGGAACAAAATGTAGTTTTATAAATCTATCTACAAATATCTAAATATTAGTCTACAAAATTCACTTAAAACATCTTCTTGATTCAATGTTAATTGTAAATAAATTAAATAGAAAAATCTTTATATCAAAATATTTTATTAATTATCTGAGTGAGGCTTGATAGGAAGTTGACTGAGTTATATTAAATCCCATCTCCCGCCTAAAGATTCTACTATGACTCATGAAAAATCACGTTTAGCTAACTGATTATATTTAGGCCAGATAGATAGACAGCTGTTGGAAATAAATAAATAAATGCTACTAATATAGTCGGACGTAAAGCCAAAGCTTTTCAAAGTTTGAAATGCAGATGATTTTAACGAACATTGCAAGCAAGTAAAATAGCTATGGCATGAAGTCACGTTTTTAAAAGATTGTCCTACATTGAACTGGATAATGTAAGCAAGCCTGACGTCAAAATTAGCGTCCAAATCTTCTCTCTATATTGGTTTGTGTAATTAATTGCTACAACTGAAGCCCGATTAGTGACACATGCAACAACGAAGATACAATCGTAAAGATGCCATCTCTCACTATCATTAACACGGTGG